TCTGTTGGTCGCACGACGCGTTCTTGCGCTTTGTTATTCTTTATAATAAATCTACGGATCGTATTGACGCGATCGAAAGTTTCTTGCGCAATATTTCTTCGCGTGGAGTCGCATATATAAGACCGGAATAAAAACGTATAAAGATGGGAATAGCTTTCAATAACCGATTCCGCATTGATTTCGCAAAGTTTCTCGGCACAATAGCAATGTCATCGTAGGACAGGACCACCACCGCCGATATTGTGAGCTTTGCTATAGGACGTTCTTCGGAACCTCGTATCACTGGAGAACCGACAGATCCAGTTAGAGATTTCAACATATTTGTTATGATATATGAGTATCACAGATTCTTTCTTTTGTTTATCAAATTTTTATAGAGAAATTATATAAAAAATAATACAAATAATCATGAAATATTTGTGTAAAATATAAAAGAATGAAAAAACAATATTTTATAAAGAAACTATTACTTGTAATATTAATTAAATTTCTTTCTGATTTAATTTGCAAAATTGTATTAGAATCAATATTTCTCATTCAATGATATATCAATAATGGTATACAATCAATTATGATACTCTGAAGCGTTATATCGCTGTATCGTTTAATCACGGAAGTTGTAAAAAAAATTATTGGTTTTGTAATCTAAAAATATAAGCTGATTTCGCCTCGTCATTCTTTTTTTGCAGCTCGATCGTATACACGGTGTCAATGACGTACGGTCTGCACAATGTTTATTTTCCGGAGGTAAAACGCACAGAGGATACCCGGCATGTATTTACCACGGATAACGGAACCACCGACGATGTGTCGGAGGAGCAAGCAGGAAAAGAGGAAGAATGGGGGAAGGAGAGAAAGAGAGAACGAGGCGAATCGAAAGATGGAAGAACGACTGATAGAAAGAAGGTGCCTTCAAGGAAACGAAGAACCTGTATAACAAGACTGTGCAATGTCCGTTTGCGATAATAAATATATATAGCATTAATGCGTATGATTAGCCGCAAAAAGTCAATTTTTGAATAATTCAGTACAAGAATAAGATAGCTCAAAAATTCATTTCGGCATAATTTTGACATAATCTCCCAAAGCAAACAAACTGACGTTATTTTGACATTTAATAACGTCAGTTTGCTGAGTGAATTTTACAAGTTGTAGACGTAACTCATCATTTTACACGAGAGAAATTTTGCAAATAAAATAATTACAAATTATAGTTAATTTCGATAATATTAATAGTATAATATTTATTTGTTGTGTATTTTTTAAAAATTAAATTAAATGCATCGTGAGAGTTGGCGATATTAAACGAAAATCTTAAATAAATTATTTAGGTACCTACATTCGATGGAAAAAATTGTCAATATTTCTGAAAATAAACAGCTCTAATTGTGAGCTGCGGTATCCAGTAGATGCAACCGGACCTAAACACTCGTGCTCAGGTCGCGAGGCGAACGCACGCGTTACGCGCGGAGTGACACGAGCGTTACTCCTGTGTCTGCTGGCGTATAATGGCACACCGTGTATACAATACAACACTGCGCTGCGTGCGTATATATGTACTGGAGCGAGAAGATCTTACGTGATAAGGAGGCGGCGCATAGAAGTCCTACGAACTGGTTCGCAATGGTGCTCGCGCGTCACTTGATCGGAGACCGTGTTTTCTCGAATAATTCGACATTCGAATCGATATTACATGTTTGCACGCTATTTCGTCAAAATTACGACCTATTTCCAGAAAGAAAAAAGAGATAAGCAGTAGCTTTGAAAGTATCGCGGGCAAAAATTTATCAAGTCTTTAAAAAAATGGAAAGAAATAATAGAATGGTTTTCCCTTATCTCGGCGTATCACGCATTACTCCCTCGATTATTTTCAAGGGAAATGTTAACGAGCCTACAAAATGTCCCGCTTTCGTCGATGGGAATTCTGGATATGGTACCTGCTCGCGGATCGATATAAACTCGAGCGTTATTTCTCCGTAATCCGTATAATATTCTCATATCGCATTATCAGATGTAATTGAAACGAATGATTCTAGTAAGCCTTGCTTCATCCAAGAGCTATCTAATATCTATATATTCTATTTCCAGTAAGAGTTATAACGACACACTCATCCTATATATTAAGTGTGAAGAGATGCGGCTTTTTCACATTCGATAAATCGATTTCACATTACGTTTCCAGAAATTTGCTACGCGAATAATATTATTATTTGTTTAAAAGAAGAGTATTTCTTGAGCATAAAATTGCGTCTTCACTGGAGCAACGATGAGCAACTTTTTATTAATGTTCCATGTTTCTTTAAAAAATTACTAGTTGTTGTCGAATGTTTTTTTAAGTTCCTTACAGTTTCTGTTGACAGCAACCAAAAAAAAAAAAAAAAAAAGAAAAATTAGTAACAACGCATCAACAAGTCGCAAAGGAACAAATATAGTTCCTTCAGTGGACCTTCAATTTTCAGTGACACAGGAACAAAGCCAAATGTTCCTGCAATTATGTTACTTCATTGGACAAAATAATATTGTCGCAAGTTGACATATGTCGAATCATTTAGAAACATTTAACAATAAGCGACAAAAAGTTGCTCTAGCGAGGACACAGCTTAAGATAATTCTCTATGGGAACTATTTAGTAGAGCAGGAATTCGCTCGGCGACCGGGCGAGGAAAATTATTAACGATTAACGCACGTATAGTGATGCAACGATGCATTGCGGGTCATGAGAGCCAAGTGGGGAGAAGAAATTGCCGGATAGTCACGATGTCTATGAAACTGTTTACGCTTATCAGGCTTTTTGCCGATATTTCCTGGCCGACAGGCTCGCTCGAGTTAAAAATTATATAGGTTGCCTCTCGCACAACGAAGGATAACGAACGATCTACAGGAGAACAAATTATATATCGTTCGCAAACTTGGAATTAATAAAAAATTTCAAGCGATCTCTAGACCAATCGTATAAGCTTTGAGAAGCAAACTCGATTCATTAAGACAAGCGCTTTCGTGCTGACGTGACGTTAAAATTGAGTGTGCCAATATCACAATATATCTTTAATATCTAACGTATCACGAGCGTCGATTAAGCCGATATGTGTGGCGAGTGGATATTATTCAGTGACATTATTTCATAGGATAGGTAGGATCTTGTCGATATCCCGAAATCAAGAGAAAAGAGATCGTACACAGTAGAAAAATTTGTTTTCTTGTTATTAAAAACGGTCTCCGTTAAAATTTTTGTCTTTTAAATATTTAACACAAGAGTATTAAATGTGTTCATGTGTTAATTTAACATATTGTTCTTGTGTTAATTGAACTTAAATGTTAAATTATTAAAACAACTGAAAAAAGATGTAAAGATAACACAATGTACAATACAATTTTTATTTTACACAATAAATATGTTGTTTTATTAGTGACAAGATTTATCTGTTAAAATTTACAGAAAAAAATATTGATTTTCTATTTTATAATATAAGTAGGGATGATAAAATCTAAAAAATTAACATATTTTTAGTTAATTTTTACATTAAAATGTTAATTTTACACAAAATTTATTTTAAATTATTTGAAGCATTTATTATTTATTTTGTGTTAAAATATTAACATATGTTAAAAAATTAACAAAAATTTCTGTGGGCATGTGATATCTATTAAATTTAACGTAATTTTTCAACTGTGTACATATATAAATAATTAAAAATTACAGCTAGATGCGAATTTTTATTTAATATTTTTACATCGAGGAATAAAAAAAGAGAAAAAAAGAAAAAACAACAATTGTCGCGACGAATCGGGGAAGTCGCCCAAACGCAATTGGCGAAATTCATCAAAGCGGCCGAGATTCTGGAAACCGCGGACGGATGAAAGGGTCGAAAAGAGGATGTGGTCCGTTAAAAACAATTGGTTGGGATTTCGGTCGAAAAGCGGGTTGCGCGTTAGATTCGAGAATGGAACGAAAGGGAAGTGTCGACGACGAAGCGTTACTTCGTTACTATTCGGTGTTTGCATTATCGAAGCTTCGTGTTCGAGAGCATCGTTCATCTCGTTGGAGAACCAGAAGAGAACGTCTCGCCACTTGGCTACCAACTCGTCAACGAAGTTGCGAGAGGTTCCATTAACGGGAATGTTGACTTTTCCAAATTCCGATTTCCCTACGGCAAATTAATTCTAATTAAGTCAACGTACAAAGTTTTATATGGAAACGGAAATTCAAAGAGACGTTTCTCTTTCACGGAAGAATCAGTGATTTAATTTCGGAAAAATTATTAGCCGACGATAAAATGAAGTTATAAAAATAGACAATTGTTTGTACGATGAAATCTTAAAATTGCAATTTTTGCCAAAATTTTACACGACACGGAACGATACTCTCGACTAGTTTTCCAAATCGCATCGATAATATAAGTTAGCTCTCACTAATTATCTCTGCCACCGCACGGTGACATTTTATGTAGATTATTCGTTAATAAAACATGAGAAAAGGAGAAACTGATTTAATGATTTCCTGTAAACATAGTGGAAATACCGTAGATAGAGTTAGCGATGACTTACATTAGTGCGACCAGCCCTTCGAGATCAGTCGCACACTGGTTAAGACCAATTGGGATCGACAATATTACTCTCATTCTCACAATTCGCAGTATGTACTTATGCCATAAAGAAGAGAAGGAAGATTATTTAATCGCTGCATAACGCTAATCCACATATATTATGCGAGCCCTCGAGAGAAAAATCAGAGTTACACCGATCGCGTCGATTGACCACATACCTTGATTTATTTTCTCACGAAAATACCCTCGGATTGAATATAAATTTTTACAGAGTAACGCTAGCTGTTACACGGAACGGAAGCCCCATCGTATCAGGTCGGATGTAACGGTAACCTACATTGTACGGTGCAAGCAACCCTCTCGAGGTCAGAGATGCAACCCGGGAGGTGCGCGCGCGATCGCATCCCTCGCACAAATCCAATAGAGTATAATAGAGATGTAATTCGGTGTACTTACGATCCGGAAGCGCGAATACGGCGTAGATGCGTGCGTGCGTACTCGGGAAATAAGCGTCGACGATCCTCGGAAGGGGAACAACACACGCGGGAGCGATATCGCGGCGGATAATCGCGGGAGAGCGGAGAGATCGTGTCACTGGACGCGAGCGCACATCTCGCGACCACCTCATTCCAACACCAAGTCCGGCGAACGACTGTTGCTTGCCGTCCCGGTGATTCGCCCCGCGCAACTCGCCGCTACTCGGCGGCTCGGCTCGAATCGGCGCGCGTCACCGAGCCGGCTTGGCTCGCCGCGCCGCGCTTCTTCGCGCGTAAACGTCAATGCGAGATCGTACGTACGTATATAGATGTGCATATACATGTGCACATTGGCGTCCGCAGGGGGGTAAGAGGGGGCATTTGCTCCCCTTGGAATCAGTAAAAAATTTTACATTTGTTCCCTTTTGAATAATTATTTAAACACTGGAATTTATTTTGAATTTATATTTAATATAATATAATTTAATATTTAATATTTAATTAATAAAATGATAATATAATAATATAAATAATATTATATAATAATATAAGTATAATAATAAATTAAAAAATAAATAAAATTAAAAATTTTTTGAATTTATAGTTAAATAATTAAATTAATATTATTTATAAGAATAATATAAATTATAAATATTTCGAATACTAATCTTTAAAATACATAAAAATTAAATATTAAAAAGAAAGAAAAATAAGAAAAATAAAAAGATGCGAAATAATAAAATTTAATCCTTGGAAAAATTCTTCGCTGTTGACCAATAGATATGCAAGGCTTACTTACGTGTGTGCTCCCCACAGTTCTTCGTCTTCTTGCCTACCTTTCCTCTACGGATATAATACGCGAATTAAATCAACTCTCGGAATATCTCCGAGAAGCCGGCCGCTTTCACTTACATTATCGGTGTTTAACGGAGCCTCCGTCGTTTCAATCATGCACATATTTCAAGTGTGTTGCGAAGTCTGAATACCAAATGTCAAAATAGAGAGCGTGATGTATTTATTTATTACCAATCTTTTTTCTAAATTATCATTCAGCAAATTTTCTAAGTATGTCAAAATTAAGTTTTTATATAACAATTCGGTGTCTGAACATATTCTAAATCTAATTCCATTAAAATAGAGTTTTAATAAAAACAATAAACAGAAATTATCTTTTATTGTAATTCTTTTCATATATATAATTATATATATATATCCCAGTCAAATGTATGTTGTTCTTTAGAATGTGTTCAATGATCCGAATGTCTAGCAGAGTCTAATTTAATATTATTTTATGTTCTATTAAGTCTCTTCCTAATGTCTTTTTGTCTGTCCGAATATGTGGCGTCACAATCGTTGCAATTCATTTGTAAATAACGTTAGAATTCGTGGGGCAATTATTTTTGTCCTTTTGAATCTATGAAGTCATTTATTTTTAATGCAACGATATCCTCGTACGTCAGGGTCTCTTAATTGCTGAATAACTTTATCAATATGATTCTATATATGGTATGACAAAATATTAATGTTAGTATTAGTATTATTAGTATCTGTTATATTGTTATTATTAGGCTTATTTATATTAGTTGAGATTTTTTAATAGCTTTATTTCTGTAAATTAATCAATTATATAATATTTAATATTTATATTTAATATAATATTTATAATAAGAATAATAATATATAATATATATAATATAATAATATAATTATTAATATTTAATATAAAAAAAATAATAAAAAAATTAAGAAATTATTTTGAATTTATATGTCATATAAAAATAATTTAATATTTAATATAATATTTATAAAAATAATATAATATATTAATATTTAATATAAAAAAATGAAAATAACAAAATAACAAAAAGAATTAAGAAAGAACGAAAAATAAGAAATAAAAAAAGATGCGAAATAATAAAATTTAATCCTCCCCTGGAAAAATCCTGCGGATATACATGCATATATGCATATATAGGTATCTGTTAAGTGTGTGCTCCCACACATTTTCTTCGTCTTCTTGCCTACCTTTCCTCTATCACGAAGATAAGTAGAGAGAGGACGTAGCATGACCACACTCTCGGCTTCGAATATCTCCGAGAAGCCGGCCGCTGTTGCACATACACCCTCGGTGTATTACCCCTGCGGAGCCTCGTCGTTTCAACATGCACATCATCTTTCTTGATTTATGACGCGACTTGCAGTCTAGATGCCGTCGTAATTTCTAGAGAGGTGCTCTGAAATGCGATTCAAGAGTCACTTGAAGCCAATTCTCCATCAATATATATCCATCAACTTATCATCTAATTCATTTTTCTAAATTATTGAGCAATAATTAAGTTTTTATATTACTAATTAAATTGTTATTGAAAAATCAATTCTAACTCTAATAAAATCGAAGAATAAAATAGAGAAATTTAATAAAAACAATACACAAAATACGCAGGAGATTGTAATTCATTCTATTATATCTAATGATATATATATATATATATATATATATATATACCTTTTAAATAAGATCGTCTTTTACTTGCGAATCATTATCAATGATCCTCGGTGTGGCGTCTCTCGAACATTAGCTAATATATATCTATAACTTTGTTCTTTTGCTAATTGTTCCTCTCCAATCTCTTCTCGGTCGTAAATTACAATTACATTGTAATGACAGAGAGATCGCGTCGGTGATGACGAGGAAGTGCAAATACCACGTTCGTACTGGTTACTGACGATGTGTGTAGAAAACGTTCGTTATTTTTACATCGTCGATCGGGTTTTTCTTGCGTGGGGAGGCATCTCGTTAACCTCGCATATACTTATATATATACATAATGTATACATCAACACGATGAGAAATCCGATACATGGATGAATGTATACTGCAAAATAAATAGTCGAATTAATAATTGATGGAAATTAATATATCTATATATAGAATGTAGAGAGATGAGAGAGATAGCTATAGTTGCTAAAAATAAATTTTATATATACATATATCCCATACAGCACCGATAGATTGCAAAAACTTTACAACAATCTTTCACCGCAATATTGCAATATTGCAAATTCACTGCAAAATATTGCTACATCATTGCTGTTGAATTGCAGCAATGTTAAAATGTCCGCTTTTTGGAAGATTGCAACAAAATATTACAACAATATTGCAATATGTTATGAGTTTGCAATAATGCATTGTTATTGCAACCATAAACTAATGTTGCATATACAGGTATATAAATGTAAATAAATCATTAATGAAAATACGTTGTAGTTAATTTATATATATTACAATATATAAATTATAGAATTTGGATTACATGCAATATTTCCGAAATATTAATGTCATGTTGCTACAAGTGTGCTGGAATTTTGTGCACTTATATCTCTGCAATGTCTTTATAATGTTGCATTGCAACTTGCAACATTGCAACGTTGCTGCAATATAATTGCAATAATCTGTGCTGTATGGGATATATATATATATATATATATAATATAGATATTGATAGATAATTGAATGTCATAATTGTGCAGTAATTTTAATTAGAAAGTAAAATTAATTTATATATAATTTATATTTACTTATTAGAATTTATAAATTAAAATCCAGGCCAGTTTCACATCTTCGGTTAACTAATCGACTGGTTAAATTTATAAAAGTTGGCACAAATTTGCCAACTGCAAAACATAAATATATCTTATTGTAAATGTGAGTAAATTTGGTTAGTTTTAAGCTTTGCAGTTGCCAATTCTTAAGGGTCGGCAAGTACCACAGATTAATAGACAGATCGCCAAAGGCCTGCCTAAAGAAGAGACCGCCATCTTCGTGCGATAGACTTTGCCCCTTACCGACACACTTTGCCCCTGGTTCGAGTCCGTGCTAAATTCGTAGACTTGAACCAAAAGACTTTGCCCCTGGTTCGAGTCCGTGCTAAATTTCGTAGACTCGACCAAAAGACTTTGCCCCTGGTGCAAGTCCAGGCTAAATTCGTTTGACATTACCAACAGACTTTGCCCCTGGTGCGAATCCAGGCTAATTGATCATGAGACCAATTTGAGAGATTTGGCCCCCGTTGTGTGTGTGTGTGTGTGTGTGTGTGTGTGTGTGAGAGAGAGAGAGAGAGAGAGAGAGAGAATATTTTACATATATGCATATATATATAAAATTTATTAAATATAAAAATATATTTTTTACACATAAAATGTTTTTTTATTGAAATAATCACGATTTTAAATGTGATATAACACAGTGTTCAAAAATTTTTTAATTAAATTTTTTAATTAAATTTTATTAAAGAAAATACTTGAAATTTTTTACATTAAGAATTTAAAGGCTCCTTATTCTCTTGTAGAAATTTATCACTACGCCAATTAATCACTTATTTTGAGTATTTAAAATACTATAATATACAGTAATTTAAGTATTCGAAATAAAAGTGATTAATTACTCGAAATAAGTGATAAATTGGCGTTACTAGTAATAAATTTCTATAAGGGTTGAAATAAAGTATAAGAGATAAATAGGCTATATGTGAGCCGTATGCGAAATGTGAGATGTAAGACGCATATTGAAATTTAATTTTTCGATATAACTTTCAAAAATGTACACGAGGTACAAAAAATTAGCTTGGACATTTGTAAGACTTAAAATTGGGATTAATTCTCAATTCTATTAATTAAATTTCGATATAACACACCTTACATCCGCGCACGGCTCATATATATAGCCCATTTATTAGTGCAATTTTTAAGTTCCTTATTTTTCAAAGTTCACCTTTTTACGTTATCAAATATTTTTACGTTTTCAAGAATTTTATATTTTTACTTACCGCAGTTTCTTATCCAAATGTAAAATCTTTTATCGCAGTCTATAAAAAATTGAAACAATTTACAATTTTATGATATAATATTATTATTATTACAATTCTATATATATGCACATCTGTCAAATATCGTGATTTATTTCACATTATTATTATCTATTTTAATAAAAAAAAAAACAAAAACACTTGCAACAATCAAAAATAAACCGCCTGCCGCGAACGGAAAATGCCAAGAAAGCACGCAATTTCCGCGAATCTCGTAATTTTTTTGAAAAATCAACAATTTCAACGAAATTGTAAATTCTTCAAATCACTGCACAAGTATAATTCACAATAATAATTTCAGTAACTACGATAAAAAATCGTATACTGAAAACCGCAAACGAAAGTGCAATGGGAG